TGCCGAATAAAATATTCGAGGTATAATCGAATTTGGATTTCTCTCACTCTCGCGTATCTTTGAGAGCAAGTCAGGTGGCCAGCACTGACTGTTTAACAGATTATTCGGATGTCGTTGCGAGCGTTTCGTTTGCCGTTCCGTACGCCGAATAAAATATTCGGGGTACACTCGAATTTGGATTTCTCTCGCTCTCGTGTATTTTTTTTTTTTGAAAGCAAGGCAGGTGGCTAATACTCGAAGCGTTCGTAACGGCTAGAGTGAGCGAGCAAATAACTGGGGTCAGCTCCGGCGAGCAGCTTATGATGGGCATTACTCGGCTCGTTACGGAATAATTTACGAGGTGCGAACCGCGGGGACGATAATCCAACGACATTTACATCCCAATAAACACTCCCGATACTAGCGTGGCGCGCGCGCCACGTACGAGTCGCTCGCTCGACTACTGGTCTTACGGCGCTCACTTTTACGACATTTTAACTGTCGCGATCGCCGTTTAATTGATCCGTAAAACAACGGCGGGCCGCTCGCGATAATATTCTTATCTTTACGTTTACTCTTATCTCCGCGTGATCCTCGCGTCGTCAAGTATCCCCCGGCGTCGGACCGGTTCGATCTCGATGCGGTATCGAATGATCGAGGTGTTTCGTAACGCTTCTCTAAACCCGTTTACCCTCCCGTTTAGCGCACGGCTTGTCGATCAGGCTATCCTACGTCGCGACGAATTTACGAGCGTTGCTACCGCAATAACGATAATCGCGAGATAGCTCGTTGATGTTGGTCGTTTGAATGTCTGAATGGATCTGGCGAGGTTAGTTCGTTACGAGGCTCAAAGGTGGCGGTGCTCGTATCCCCACGAGCGGCCACGGTGGCGAGAAAGAGAGGCCAGAAACATTGCGTGACGCGCGTGCCGCCCGGTCTTCTCTTTCTTACCCTCTCTTCTTCTCTCACTCTCTCTCTCTCTCTCTCTGTCTCTCTCTCTCTCCCTCTCTCTCCCTCTCTAGCACCGTACGGACTCATAGCGTGCCCGTATCCAGCGGTGTGCCTCGCGCGGCTCAATGGTGGGGGCACGCGGGGCGGCGCCTAGCCGCTCATGGGCGTCGTTCCGACTTGGAACTACTTTCGCACGGCGTAGGAACTTTCGTGCCACACCAGCGCGGCATTCGTGACGAATTCAATTCTGATTGGTCCTTAAGTATAACCTCCTCCCTTAGCGGCACGTTCTCCCTTCCTCCCGGCCGCTGTCGCGGCGGCACTCGCTCCGCTTCGCTCGTCTCGCTCTTAGCTGTTGCAATTGCGCATAACGTTCTTTCTTTTCTTCCCCACCCTCCCTCGCCCCGTCGCCTTCTTATCCGTTTCCGCTCGTGTCCTTACGTGCCCTCATCCCTCTCTTTATTTTCTATCTCGTCTCGTCCCTTTCTTTCGCGTCGCGGCGCGAGAGGCTCTCGCGCTCTCTCTCTCTCTATCTTCTCTTCCTACCTCGCGCCGTCTTATCTTTGCCCGCGCGTCTCAAATGTGACGCGCACGGCGAACGAGTACGAATTTAATCTGGCGGTACGTCGTTGAGTTAGAGGAACGCTCGACAGGGGGCACTGAGGAATCGCACCGTGAGAAAGAGAGAGAGAGGGAGAGAGGGAAGGGAGTGGACGAGCATCGCGTCGAGAGGTGGAGCGAGACAGAGTCAGAGGGTGAGAGAGCAATTGTGGAGGGGGAGGGGGACGACGTTGGGGGTGTAAGAGGGGGACAACAACGACGGTAGTCAGAGCGAGAGAGGTCGGTTATCGCGCCAGGAGGGGGATGGTATACGAGGGACAAGGAGGGATATGGGCACTGTGCGATCTCTCCGTTAGGACGTAGTACTCCGGAGGAAGAGTACGCGCGAGTGAGAAGCGACAGTGCCTGCGCGCATGGGAATGGGAAGGAGTGACCGTGACGGAGAGAGAGGGCGAGAGAGAGAGGGAGCGCGCACGGTGAAACGGTGGTTGGTGAAACGGGGAAGGAAACTCCGGAGAGAGAGAGAGAAAGAGAGAGAGAGAGTGCGAGAGAGGCCGGTCGTGTGGAACGGAGACAGGACGAGGTGAACGAGCGAGCGAGAGACGGACGACGGTACAGAGTGGCGGTACACGGGGCGCGAGAAAAGCGGTAGTGTGCCGTGGACCACCGCACTGGCATACCGTGATTCGTTACGATCTCCATCGTCCGACTCGTACCGGACTCACCCGCAGTCGTCGGCCGAGCCACGATACGGCGAGTGCTAAGTGCAGTGCGGACTGAGCGGGGTCGCCTTTGATTCCGCGGCTCATACACACAGATCGCGAGAGCCGGCTCCTCAAGAGGCCTTGACCCGGTCTAGCGCGCGAATTTCGGTTGATTTGGAAAAAGAGGAGGAAGAGGGAGAGGACCGCCCGCGAGGGTGGTTGTGTCGCGTGCCGGCTGACCGAGTCGCCGTCGTCGTCGTCGGGCACGAGCACACGCGGTAGAAGGAACCCGCGGGCAATTTTATAGCCCGTCTTATTACCTAAGTTTATTGCATCGTAACGGTTTAACGATCATCGCGCCTGTTTCCGTAGTCGGGACCGGCGCGCGGTTTATGCCTCGCCCGTAGCGGTAACCATAACAGGGCCATAAAAGTCCCCGCCGCTGACATGATACCCATTCTGAATTACGCTCTTACGGCCTACTGACATTGACACTCCGGGTGTAACCAGCCGTACCTGCCGACTGACTTTTATGACCTCTTAAAGTCGTTTAACGCACGTTTTATTTGCCACCACCCGTGTCAAGCGCGTCGTCGCCCCGCCGAGCGCGCGCGCGCGCCTCTTCACCCGCGGAACGGTCAACAATCTCGCCTAATTCCGGAGCAGTTAAATCGCGCGCGAGCGTCGCGGAGTCGCGAGTACGGACTAGCGTGTTATCCGACTAGCCGCGCGCGCTCCGTGTGCAATCGAACTTGTCTCCCCCCCGCTCTCTATTTCTTGTTTCGAGTGTGCCGGTGTTCAGTGCAAGTGATCCAAGATACCCGGGATAATGAACTCGTACTTTGAGCAGACCGCGGGTGGCTTCTACGGGAGCCACCACCACCAGACGGGAGCGGCGAGTCAGCATCACGACCCGGCGACCGCAGCGGCGTATCGAAGCTTTCCACTCGGATTAGGCATGTCGCCCTACGCCTCGGCGCAGCACCATCATCACACGTCGTCCTCGTTAGGGATACACCCGGGCGGCGGTAGCAACACGCGGCCGCCCCAGGACTCGCCGTACGACGCGAGCGTTGCGACGGCCTGCAAGCTCTACTCGACGACACCCGAGGCGACCGGGCACACCACCTCCTCGTACTCGACCACCGCGACGAAAGACTGCAAGCAACAGGATCAAACGTCGACCCATCAAAACGGCTACGCCGCGGTGATGGCTGCGGCGGCGGTCAAGGACGTCTGGCAGTCAGCGACCTCCGGAGCGAACAGCCAGAGTAACTCGGTCGTGCGTCCTTCCGCGTGTACCCCGGAGAGCTCGAGGGTCAGCAGCTACGGCGGCCTCGTAGGCGGCGACCCGGCCTCCAGTCCCGGTAACAACAGTTCCTCGAGATCCCTCACGTCGTCCTGGAACACCTGCAGTTTAAACTCGTCCGCGAGTCAACCGGTCGCCACGCAACTGCATCAGCAACCTACCACCAATCATACCTTCTACCCCTGGATGGCTATAGCAGGTGAGTTTGCATTCATAAATGCTCTCTTATACGACTATTATCATAACAGCCGCGATGAAATATAGGAGCCACCATGCTTAGGGGGAACGTGGGGAGCCGACCGACGACCACGTGGTCGGGAAGGCGTGGTGGATCAGGCTCGCCCGTCTGGTTATACCAGACTAAATTGTTCAAATTGCCTCCACGCGATCAAATTACCGAGAAGTTGTGCGGGAACGAGATTATAGAATACAACGTTTCACGTCCATCGCGAGCGATTCGCGCCGAACGGATGAAAAATTTTCTATCGCGCCCGTGCGTGAACAAGATGAGTTATTTCGCCCTTCCTTTGTTTACCGAAAAAAAAAAAATACCGGAAGACACAGATATACGTTCTATTCGTCGAATGTAGCTTATCGCGCTGTCGCGCCGAGTGCGATGAAATTTTTCGCAAAGTCCATTTGCGCGTCGTTTTTGAAATACGGCACATCCGTCATGAAACCCGAGATAACAGATTTACAATCGTTGACGTTTTAGAAGCGTCCCATTGCCTTCTGCTCGAGTGAACGCGACGACAAGGATTAGTTAGCGGCCGAAGCTGACGTGCGAAAATAATGTTGAATTATCGCCGGTATAATTACATTGCGATTGTTACCGCGGCTTCTAAAGCGGCAGATTTTCCTCTGGCTCTTAATTGCCGAGCGCATAAATTATCATTTGATAGCGCGGTAACGAGTACAACGGTAATAAATGTGCTTATCATCACTTTTAAATTGCTAGTCTTACTCCACACGTTGCCGCACGTTTTTGTGCGAAATGTAAATTTTATTAGATTCCTTTTTTCACTTTCGCACGTACATACAATGTCAACACGCGCGCGGGTTATGTTGTGGAAAATCGGCCGTGTACCTTGGCAAAATTATGTCGGCTAGATAGGTAGAATGGAGTCAAGTGCGTGTAAAATCGCCGGGTACGTTGGGTATAATGGGGAAGTCCTCGTCCAATTGGGGGTTCAAGTGCCTTCCCCACTGTACTCACCCCACCGGAACCCCGAATTCCGGTAGTCAGCTGTTTCTAGCGATGTCTTTGTCCTTTTCATTGCGAGAGAGATACTCCCGAATAACCTTCTGCTTTGCCGCTAGTAGATATATAATCAAGGCCTCGTGGGTTATATCGCACTTTCGGCGGGACCATTTCCTCTACTAGCTCAGCTGAGACCAAGTCTCTAGCTAGCCTAGCACTTTTTTTCTCCTACCTCCATCCTTTTTCTTTCCTCCGAACCGCCTCTAGCGCTTTCTTCTCGGCGGGAATCTTCTTTGTTGGTTTCTTTCCCCCGGTCCAGGTTGAGAGTTTCACTCTTTTTTTCACCCTCGACTAGAAAAGACGTTTTACATATAAAGGAAGGAATTATTTTGAGAAACACCAAAGTACGGAGTGGCGCACATACCGGCCTCAAATATACAGTTTCAAGTTATTATAAATTATATTAACATGTACAATCTTTTTATTAAAACTGCCTTAAAATGCTGATAATCGTGTAAATTGTTAAAGTTTTTTCAAGTTGAAAATACCGTTTATTTACCATACAAATGTGCAGTACATGAAATAAAATTGTATGGAGCTATGTACGCCATCCCGTAACAATTCAATGAGTTCTATAGTGTGTAAACTCTGCGACGTAAGTTTTGTCGTACAAAAAACAATTTTTTCTATTCAAATCTATATCTTGCCGTTGTCATTTTGTAAACGATATTGCTCAAGAACCACTTTTGCTCCAATGTTTCCTGAAGATTTCTGATTATCGCGATAATTAATAAATCTTGAATTATAATTGATTATAAAAAGACATACAGCACGCAAAGTTATACACACGAAAAGTTATTATTTTGCTTAAATCATAATTTTTTGGTCGTCTGCTTAAGAATTCAAAGGAATGGCTCATCCATTCATCTTTATCTCGATGAATTAGATATTCCGGATCATTGATTACTGGTTGCGAATTGCTTCGATGATACATGGAACGCGGTGTTTGTAGGAATCGTAGGAATGAGAAAAAGTATTTGATCGGCATACTCGTATAACAGGTTCTATGCACTCGCGGATTGAAAGTCGTTGACTCATTTCGCACTCTCTGGCAAGTGCTTTTCAGTGTTGTTGGTACAATCGCGCACGTAGGAAAATTTATCGTTACAGGATTATGGATTAATTTGTCGTAGATTGGCAGTTAAATATAGAGCTATCAGAGTCTATCGGCATTCATCTATCATCGTGTACGATAAATGATTCTGATTTGTAGCCCCGGTAGGAAATTAATTTACGTGTCGTTTCCGCGATATTTTGAATAATCATATTTAGATTAGATGATAAATGCAAAACGTACGACATATGATTCGTCATTATATTGACGTCACAGATGCACTTTACTATATAAAAGTTCTAATTAACCTTTAAAAAATCTCTTTTAAATGTATAATGCAGGGTGTGACTGTATTAAAATGAAATTAGTATAACTTATACCGTGTGACATCATGATAACAGTTATTATAAGTCTTGCCATTTGTTACAGCTATTGCGAAATGCTAAAAATATGTATATGCGCTTATGCCTATTGTCTCTATTCATTCTTTAAATACTTATCGCGGGAAAGGTAATTATATAGCTAGAATGCATGCTAGTGTGAAATACTGCATCTGTCGCTTAATTTATTGCGCTTCTAACTACACCTTTGTGTATCGTAAGTGTATGATAAACGATCGCGGGATCGATTATACGTCCAATTCATATAAACGTCAAGGCGGCAGACATGGCGTCCGTAATTTCAGTCTAATTAATGTATAATGCTATTTGATATTACAAAAATTAATTCACAATTCTGTAACTCTTTCGAGTTTTTCACGAAAAATATCATTTCCAACGATCAAACGTACGTCTTGTCGTCATTTCTATTTTGTTAATATGTATTTTGTAAATCACACTCGAGGAAATTACCGCGGCACGCGCGCGCACGATAAAATTAATATGCTGTAACTATTTACTTTTATTTATCTTCTATCTTGTGATGTGTACTTCACAGGCATGTATCAATACGGTTAATTTAATAACGGATACACACGGTGATAAAAAAAGTTCAACGTACAAAGCTCACTCATTAACTTAAGCAAAAAATGTGTAATCGACAGTCAGGAAATGGCTTTATCGAAGAAGCGATCGGGAATTTAAATCTTTCGTTTTCGCCTACTGATCTCAGTTTAATGAAAATTATTCATCTTTAAATTTCGAATCCTTTTCCTAATATCTAACTCAATACTGAAATTAATTATTTTCTACATTTAACGCTAAAAGTAGTTCCTTCTTTAAATTAGACACGCGCTGTTTTATCAGTAAATAATCTGCGACACTTACCAGTAGCAATGAGAAATATATCTTTCTTTATAGAGCCGATTCACTTCCTCCTCGGGATATACCTAAACGCGAACAATATTTATCACTCCTCATTGAGGGGTGACTGCGTCTACAGGGTAATTAGAGGGCGCGACGATAGAGGCTGGGGTGCTATTTAGGCATCTCTTCATTCCAGCCTATTGAGAGCGAACCTCTTTCACGGTCCAGATCTAAAAAAAGGTCCCTTTTTAAAGCTACATTAAGGTTTGCACGATAACTTGATACGGGAGTATTAATCAAGATAAATATGCCGGATGGATATGGAATGTAGCTTCCGTTTTCCAAGTTTTACACTCGTGCTTTCGACGCATTTAAATGAAATGTTGCTGAAAAAAAAAGTATGTTGTAATTTACAGTTTTCACAATGACGAATAGTTCGGCGATCTCTATAAAAAGAATGAAATAAAATGACAATTAATATATTGTTTTACTAGAACGAATACAGTACAACTGTGTGAATTATAAGAAAGAAATTCTTACGTCACTCACGCGTGGTACGGTCAAAAGGATATCCAATGAATATTGAACTCCTTCGCCGGATTCCCGCGTAAAAGCCACGTGGTGTCAGCGTCGCTCCCGAGTTGGAAAGGAGCTACTTTCTGCAATACGACGGTTGCGAGTAGGTAGGTGTTACGTACCTCGGGGAGCAACCTCGTTCAATATAAAGCAGCTAGGAACAACGTTGTAACCGTAACTTTGACGTTTACGACAACGAAATCGTGGCTCGGCTCGTTTATCCCTCCTTCTCGGGGAAACCCCCCCACTTGCTGCTACGGTCGTTTACGAGGTTCGCCGGTAATACAGCGCTCTACTCTCGTATCGGAGAAGATCAGCTCTGATCTTCACGAGTCGTAAGATTCTCCTTTTACTGAACGGAAATACTCGGAGCTCTTGCTCTCGCGCAAATTCGGACTTTTCTCCGCGCGATTTATTAGACATCATCTATGAAATAAATATGCTCATTAATTAAGATATAAGTGAACAGATAAATCAATCTTACGATTGTTACGAAATATATCACATCTATTATCATCAAAATATTTTATTTTCCCATATTCTTCTGTGAAATGAAAAGTAGAGGAAAGTCCTCTATTAGGTTTCTAATATGAAATAGCAGGTTTTCAACACCCAAATTCAATCACGAATCTACTTTCGCGATCTAACAATAAATTTTCCACAAAGGTAATACGAAGGAAAAGGCGTGAAATTTAACAGAAACTCCGCTATTTCATGCGTTAGGAGCCTATCTCATAATAGGGGATTTTCCTCTAAGTGTTAAATGCATTTGAAAGCACTCGATAAATGCTCGTATCTCTTATCTTTGTTTTAAAAATACAAATGTAGAAAACCAGAAGTGGTGGCTAAAAGAATGAAAAGAGATCATGGAAAGTGCCTGACTGACAAGAAAATGAGTGGAAAAGATAATACGAAGAAAAGATTGAAATTTGACAGAAACCCCTCTATTTTACGCGTTAGGAGCCTATCTCATAATAGGGGATTTCCTCTATAGATAAAATATACCTGTAAGAATGTGAGGGAAAGAATGCGATAAAGATGGTAAAAAAGCTCGTACGGCAATGCGTATCTTAAAATCAATTGCTGCGTACTATTAAAGGATTATGTGACGGATATGCATCGAGTGTAGGCGTGCACGTTGCACACAGGTGATCAAGCGGTCCGGATTTCTTCCATGTATGAGGGTGTACGAAAACTCAGGCACATGTAACGCGGACACCAACACCGTGGCGTCGCGACCTAAAGAGGCAGCCCGAGCGAGCGCGTTCTTCGTATATGGGGAGAACCCTTTCCGTGTGTTGCTCCGCTGGCCCGGATGAAGTATGACGTACGAGCCTCTCCGTATGACTTACTACGCCCTTTTTTTCCCTTCTCCACGCCCGCCGCTCGTACTGTTCAATCGAAAAACATTGGGGCCTCCTCCAAAAAATGCGCGCTCTTTAGTTACAATATGCGCCTTTCGACAAGGGAAATTAAGATTATAACGCGGGAGATATTTCTGTGCGCTTGTTGCTGTCGCACGTCACGTCCGGATGTTCGCTGTATCCTGAATATCTCCGAAGTGCACGAAGAGAATTTTCTCTTAAAATCATCCTGAAAATCGCGTAATCGCGGGACAACGTGGCATTTCGAAGAACATTTTACTAGTCAAATGTATGGTAAAATATCAGAAAACTCGTAAAGTTCGACTACATGATTTTTAGGATAAGTTTGAGAAGAAAATTGTCTCCGTGTGGAAATGTGAAAATTAAAACTAGGCGCCACGTTGGATGTATATGTTATTTTTCATAGACGTTCCAATCTATTCTCCCGCCGACTCTTATATCGCAATTTTTACCGTTGAGATGTCAATTAACGAAGTAATCACGATTAATTGGCGGAAACAACGGAATTAACGGTTCAAAAATACATTTTGCATCACCCGTGCATAATAAAGTCCGCGCCTTTTCCCCGCAATAATCGGTTTTACGTTCACACAATTGTTTCATAAACGTATTTGTTCTGCTATCCGTCTGTTGATACAGTACTAAACTCATAATAATAGCCGATCATACGATTCCTCGATGGTCTCGCTAGACTTTGCCTCGCGAGGCCGGCGGCATCAGTAAGAAATGACGTGTGATTAAGCGGAAGCGCGCAAAATGAAAAGCGAACGTCGGGAGCGGCGTGACGAGGGATTAGCAAGAAGACAATTTTCATAATCACTCCGGCGTAATATCCACCGCGAGTCTACCAATCGAGAGATTACTGTTGTACTCTGCAAGGTAGACTAGTCCAGCCCCGGCGCCATTAGCCGGGATGTGCGCCCACAGGTACACACGTACGCGTGTACCTCTCGCGGACCTTTCGTATTTTAATTTAAGCATCGCCTTGCGTCCAATCACGCTATTCGCGCTGTGTATAACGTCCGACTTAAGGTATAATCTTTCATCGATCGTATCGTCCGCGTCCTGTCCCACGTCTCGCTTCTTGCTCTCGTAACTAGTAATTTTGACCCGCATGGTGCCTCTCGAGGAACTTCAGTAAGCTTGTTATTGTTATTATATTTAGGTTTCGTTTCGTTTCGCTACGCTTTCGGTAATAAAATAATTATATAATACAGCCAGGACCCAGGCGAGAGATTCGAGCAAACTGTGCGATGGTCCGATTCCAAGTGGAAACATTTAAACTTCAAGTTCGGAAGGGCGTGCAGTTTCAAATGGAACTGTTTGATCAATTCTCGATGTCTGTAGATTCGACCGAAGCGGTTCAGACATCGAGAAAATTTAGAGCAAATATATTACTCTTTGCAAAGAGGGGAATGGCCGTCTTCTAAGAGGAAGACGAGGGACATAAACGAGCAAAACCAGTTAGCAAATATATTATTTATAATATTTCAAGTCTTCGGCCGAAAAAAAAGTGTACCATTCCGATTACACAGTCTTTATCAGCCGATAAATCAATAGAGTAAAAAGTCATTTTTTTAAGTACATAATAAAAATGAACATAGGTCCATACGTGTCAAAGAAAGAACGATAAGAAGCTATGCAGTAAACGAAGCGAATGCAATACATATGTGGACTTCAAATTAAAATTATTTAGACACTAACATTCCGTTTTGGCTCTTACTACTTTATCACTTCGTATTTGTATGTTTTCACATTAGAACCTTATAAATTTTATTAATTGTTCGAATTTTACAATATAGCGTGAACAAAATTTAAGAAAGCCGAAAAATGCGTCTAGAGTCGAGAACAAAAAATAGTTGAATATAAAAAGCAAAATTAACCATAGTCAAATGATGAGAAGAAGCCCGTAAATAACCGTCCTCCATTTACTACAATATTTTCTCAACAATCGCGTGTACCTTCATTTTGTTATTTTCGGACCAACTTTCTTATCGAGATTTATGACGGGGAAAAAAGCCAAGTGTCGAGGCACATCCTGCAATCCCTTCGGGCAGAATTACACGTAGATTTCTTGCGTCTACGAATTATGATGAGAATGAAAAAATGCATATACGTGGGCATAAGCGTAACGCGCGCGGAGCGCCGAGGCGTTGAGGCGCTGATCGGTACGTCATGCCGCCCCAGTACAGCGACTGCCAGGGTTCTCAATTTGATGGACGAGCTGTTCGCATGTACAACTCGTGCGCCAGCCTGACTTTATATACCGACAACAACCGTATACGCCACCTCACCGTTTTGCAAATTTCATGTCGTAGAAATTATTGTCAGCAGTCGGCATTAATCTTCGTACATCGTCGTCAGCGGTCTGTTTCGATCAATTAATTAAGCGAGGCTTCTAATGTAAGAGACACGAATGCTTTCTGACATGAACATTGTCACAGGAATCCGTTACACAGTAATGGCTCCGTCCATTCAGTCTCGCATGTACAGTCGTGGTCAGAAAGGATGTCCGGCGTTTTATGATAAATTTTGGAAATGCAGTCTATCACGCGAGGGATTATAGCTTTTGCTCACGGACATGTGTAGTGGGGCATTGTTAAAGTAAAGGAGTGAATACGTGCGAATATCTGTGCAAAACGATATATATACGAATATTCCGAAAACTTATTGTAGAACGTCGGGCAATCTTTTTGACCATGACCGTACACGTATTTATCTAGGGTTTGTGCACTTAACACATGCGTTTTAAAAAAATTCTCAGGAGCTTACGCTAAGTGTTTCTGATATTTGCATTCCTCGTGGATATAGTTGGAATTTGAAATATTTCTTTGTTTCAAATTCTTTTTGTTTTTCAAATAATCCAATTTCAGCTATTTGACGATTAGCATTATGTGGCATTAACGAAATATACGCAGATAATATACGTGTACATATATTGCCACATCGCTTCGGGCTGAAATAATATATACTTTGGATCAGTTCTTCATAGGTATGAAGAATGTGTTTAGTTGCTCGGAGATCGGGACGACTATACCGCCGGACAAAGACCATGTCTAGCCGTGGCCGCGAGGAAAGATGGGCACATGGCAAAATAATTGATTCGAAAGCGTTCTCGCGTATGTTTTTCACGGTTCTTGTCCATCGGTTATGGATAAAAATATTAAAAGAGTAGATTCCTAAATATCCAAATTGGTTGGAAAAGATCAAATTTATATATGACCAATTTTGTTTTGCTGTAATCTGTTTAAATCCCGAATATTAACGATCATTTATAAGTAACGAAACTTTAATTCAATTTATACGCCGATTGAAAATTGATATTTATTGTTTAATCAGCCAAAATGCGCTTGAGCAATTTCGAGGGGTAAACCGCTGACCAAAATCACATACACCAATGCCTATTAGTGCCCAGTGGGCATTATTTATCTTATTATCTTACTTTATATCTCAGTTATGTTATATTATGTTTAAAATGCCCAAAGTAATGCCCAGTAATGCCGCAAGTTTGTACACCACAATGCCCTCGAGCGGTTTACCCCTCGAGCAATTTTATGTATAATTGAATCGATAAGATTTGTTTAACGGTCAAAAAGGGTACGAGAAAGCACTTTCCAATTGAGGCAACGATTTACTTTTCACTTTACCGTCGCAATACCATCGAAGAATCACTGACAAGGTCGTTCGACTTACAAGGTACGCGTTGGAATCGAGCCGCCGCACTGACAACCGTACGAAAAAAATATTTTCGGAACACGTTTCACCCGCGCTTCTTCCTTATTCTTCTTTCGTCTCACGTATCGACGTATCCGCGAGGTTAGGCTCGACGGCGTCAATATTTAATTAATACGCAACGACGTAATCGAGTCCGTTGATACTGCTAAATAGTCTTCCACGTCCATAACTCACGCAGCACTTTTTGCACCGACGAACTTGCCCACCGTTCTTCCCGTCTGCCTCGATGGGCGGCCATTACGGACAGCACCTGCCACTCTGGCTACGACCTGACCACAATGCCTTTACAACTATCCCCATCATTGG